CGGCCTCCCTCGGCGTCCTGCCCGGCCCGCAGTCCCCGCGGCGGCGGTTGGGGGCGGGCCGAGCCGCTGGGTGTCTGGCTCTCGCGTCCACGCGGCCGGCCGCCGCTCTCCCCGCTCCTCAGCTGGGCTCGGTGTCCTGTCTCAGGCCTACGTAGTTGACTGCGAAACCAGACGCGAGGCGGGTTCGAAGCAGCAGCAGAAGTGCCGGGTGCAGGGAGTGCTGCCGAGTGTAGAGGGAGACGGGCAGGCCGTGGGGGGCACGCGAAGGCTGTTGGCGGAGCTTCCAGCTCACTGGTCCGGAGTTTGTTGACAAGCGGACTGCCTGGGTCTCATCCTCATAAAAGCCTGCTTTGGTGGGTGTCACGCCGGTGGATCTGTTCCGTAGTGCGTGTCACCGTAAAGTTTATATAACCGAAGTTTGTGTTAACTCTTATCCAATCAGCGAACAAGTCGTTGATAGGGCAAGTGTAAAGTGCGGACCTTATATCGTCTCGAAGAAGATTTTCGGGCGTAGAGATTTCTTTAAAGGACGGGCCTCCAGTACCCGTGTGTAAACTCAGCCCTGACTCCCGGGAGCGGGGCAGGAGGCGGCCCTGCACACCGACGGACAGGAGCAGTGCAGATTGGTCCTGAGATCTCGGTGCTTGGGACTGGTTGCTGCTCGTTCTCGGCTTTAACCACGCTTTTCATGTAATTTCACATATCAAAGAGATTTAATGGGCTGTGAAAGGAATGAGGTGTGTCTTTCCTTCCTCTTCTCCCCGGTCCAACTCACTCCTCTGTATTCTCTTTGGGAGGTTTTCTTGTTTCCACTTCTGAGAGTCCCAAGCTCCCCGTGGGGTTCGGGCTGTATTTCACTTTTCTTATCGTGTTCTGTGATGAAAGCATGCGTACTCTTTATGCACACACATTATCTCATGAGCTGTAGGATTTTTTGGCTTATGCAGAATATGAAACTTGGTGTAGTGGTTTGTAGGCGTGGATGACTTTGCGGAAGTGGGAGAACAAAAGGGTTGAGAAGTTGGTTTTTGTAAAATGCCTAACTAGGCTTATGTGGTGCTGTGGAAGAGAGAGTTGAGACTTTGAGAGTTCTGAGAACTTTTAAAGTATTTGAGGTGAGTTTAGCACTCTTCAAAACATCAGTGTTTTAAATTTATTTTTTCCTGGATAGCAAAATGTTGTATATGGAAGACTGGGTGGGGAGTATTGTCTAATACTGGGAAGACTAAATTACGGATGTGGAATTATGGTGTGATGACCTGCAACTAAGTGGCATAAAATAGCTTTCCTCTTTTATTTTTAAGTGGTAGAACCAACGGTAAAACCATTTCTTTTCTATTAACTCTGTTTTGGACAGTTTCAATCAAATATTGTACCTATCATCACTTTCTACAGCTTCCAACATAGGAAGCTCAAAGTCCGGGTTTGGGGGTGGGATGGTATGTTTGCATTCTTTACACTTTCAAAGAGGGAGTTTGAAACTAGGAAAATTGTTTTTAATCTTCGTGTACTGTCCACTGGGGACTATGTTGGTCTGTTGTAAAGGTCAACATCCGTGTTGGTTAATGCTTATGGATCATGAAACACTTTTGATGTCCGTTGATAAGAAGTGAATGTAATCAGCCTTTATCCTTGTTAGCTGATGTTTTTAATAGGATTTTTTTTTTTTTTTTTTTTTTAAAGTTGACCGGTAAGGGGATCTTAGCCTTTGACTTCGAGTTGTCAGCACCGCTCTATCCCTATATAGGGATCCGAACCTGCGGCCTAGGTGTTATCAACACCACACTCTCCCAAGTGAGCCACGGGCCGGCCCTCAACAGGATTTTAAAAGAAGTTTTCAGTTTTTCAATTTTCTTGGAAATAATCCTGTTTTGAAAACCTGGTTTGTTTTAAATTCGTCTAGGACACCACCTAGTGGTGAAAAGCAGGTAACTGCAGGTTCGTTAATGAGCGAGGATGGGTCAGAGCCGGAACGTTTCACCAATGGCTGTAGTTCTCTCTGAGTACAGTTTAAGAACTTCAAACAAAACGGTGAATGAGAAGAAAAATGAAGTTGGGGAATCTGAGAGTATGATAGAAATGGTAATGTAGGAAAGGAAAGACAATGATAAAGCCTAGCTGGAGAGACCGACTTACTGGATAAGTCAGCTAGTAAAAATTTGATACTTTTATTAACGGGTGATATGAATGGAGGTGTTTTTGTTTGTTTGTTTGTTTTTATAATAAGACTGCAGCACCTGTTATTTCCAGGTGGTCTCCCATCCAAATACTAACCAGGCCAGACCCTGCCTAGCTCCTGAGATTCCTGATCTCCATGTAGGCGCATTCCGGGTGATAGGGACGTAGACCTAATAAAAGTATTTTGCCAAACTTTATATTTTTGGATGGACATACAGAATCACAGTTGACCCCTTTCATGTTGCTGTCCTAACTGAAAAGTAAATTTTAAAATCACCGTTTTAAGATGGGGAAAATTAATTTCCAAAAAAATAACGAGAGTATTCGAATTCCTCAGGGTTGCAGTGTATATTAAAGGGGAGAAGGTTTCGTCTTATTTATATTTCTCATACGTTATTTCAAAACCTATACCATAATTGGCCATAGTTTGGTTTTCTCTTAAAATTGTTACCCTACCTAAAATTCATATGGACTTTTGGGCTGTTGTAAATTAAAAAAAAAAAAAAAGTCCCTAGCAATTCCTACTTCTGGCTGTGAGACTGTTGAACTATTTGTATATCTCAAGGTATTTTAGGATTCTTAAGCAAAGTTGCAGAACCGTTTGTCTTTGGAAGGGTGATTTCCTCACACAGCATATGATTTTCCCCTCTTTTTATTATTTTTTTTATTTGTTACTTATTTATTTATTTTTTCTGATTACTTTCCCACTTTAAAATCTTCCTCTAAGGGACTGGCCAGATAGCTGAGTTGGTTAGAGCGCAGCGTTGTAACACCAATGTCACAGGTTCAGACCTCCCTGCTGTCCAGCCAGAAAAAAAAAATCTTCCTTTTACCACCAGAGGCATTTAAAGAGTGTCCTGTGTTTGTGTTGTGTATGCCCATCCACTCTATGCTCTATGCATATGCTCTAGCTGGTATGTTTTGTGAACTGCGTATCAATAAATCCTTAATCCTATCTGCTACCTTGAGATGGCATATTCCTTCAGGGTAGGCTTTGAATCTGAGGGTGTTCTTTCATGCCTTTAGCAGTGTGCAGGACCCAGAGTGCTTGGAATATAATGATTGGATTAGATCCTTTTTCCTGGTTTGTCTATGTCCTGATTACCTCCCAGCAGGTAGTAATGGAATCAAGAATTAAGGAAAGTTAGAAAAAGTATATATAACATACAACTTCAGTTTGCTAGTACTGGAGACTGAGTACTTGCCATGTATTCTTTTTTTTTTTTTTAAAAAGAAAGGGAGTTAGTCAAGCCCGTAAGTATTTAAGTGTTTAATAGGTGATGACTACCATTGAAAGAATGATTTCTGATCTTGAGTAATAAAGGAAATAATTTCCTGTGTTTGCGGAGTATTTTAGGGCATTTTGAATAAGAATGGAGTATGTAAATAGGTGATCTGTGGTAAGGATTGATCACTATGTTTTTTCTCCTTACCTAACTATATATTTGTCTTGGGAATTCATCAGGTGATAAAATGACACTTAGGAAACTTGTCCAGGTTTATTGTTTATTTCATTTTAATCTTCTTGCTTGCTTCCATTCCATTAAGCAAGTAGTGTCACACTAAATTAGTCTGATGTCATGACATGAATTGAACTCCACTTTAAAAGAATGTTTAATTTGGTGGCTGTCTGGTATGGGGATCTGAATCCTGAATCCTTGACCTGGTTGGTTGGTTGGTTGGTCGGTCGGTCATTCATTCATTCATTCATTCATTAAAGATGACAGGTAAGGGGATCTCAACCCTTGGCTTGGTGTTGTCAGCACCAATGCTCAGCCAGTGAGCCAACTGACCATCCCTATATAGGATCTGAACCCGTGGCCTTGGTGCTATCAGCACCACACTCTCCCGAGTGAGCCACGGGCTGGCCCTCTTGACCTGGTTATTACCAACACCCCCCACTTTAGAGCTTACTGGCCAGCCCCCTGAAATGTTTTGTTTAAAATTATCCCTTTTGTAGGTTAATAGAAGTAATTAATTTTTGGGGGGTGGGGTGGGGGTGCAGCTGGCTGGCGAGGGGAACTGAACCCTTGACTTTGGTGTTATAAGGCAGTGCTCTAACTGAACTAATTAGCCAGCTCCCAGAAGTAATATTTTAATTTGTTGTTTTTTAAGCTGAAGAATAGTGGAATTTCTTCAATGGACATATGACCTCTCGAATTATATTACTTAAGGTAATTTATAGTGAGTGGTGCACTGTGTGTGGGTAATAATAAAAAGCTTCTTTAAGAGCGTCCCCCTTTTCTGTTCCATTTTTAGTATTCAGTCTCTGGCACTGGAAAGGAAGATAGTAGCAGGGGGTGGCTATGCAAAGACTTGGCTGGATGGGGATGTTTTTGCAAATAGCAAAGTTTCT